AAATGTCATTTACAGTAATGGCATTAAATAACCACCCAAGATTGATTTATTAATATATTTGTTTATTGTTTCTCAGCTCACTAAAACCCCTGAGGAAATGTGCTACTGATTAAAAAATGATGTAGAATTTTTACAGAGGGTGGCATTGGGATTGGTCACACACAATGTACAAAATATTAGTGGATCACAACTCCCATCAGCCCTAGCCAATGGTAAGGACTGTTGAGAATCACACTTCAACATTTTCTGGAGATCAATATTATAACAATGGATAGCAGTGTGTGTATGTAGAGACAGAGTTCCAGGTGCACACCTTTAAGAGATTTTACTGTAGCAATCAGTAAGGGAAAAGACTATATATGTGTTATCTGCGGCAATTCAAGTCTGTTAGACTATAGTCAAAATCCAGTTAGTCTCAACTAGAGTAGACTCGTTGAATCAACATATTTTACCCAAATATTGATTTCTCTGTAACAATAGCCTCCATGGATCTGCTTTATTATTAATTATAACTGGGATCCCGTCTATCCTTTCATGTTAACATAAATGTGCTCTTAACCACCTTATATGCCCATGTATCAGTCTAGACATTTCAATCAAAAAATCAACCCCAAAAATCTGGGCTGGGTTGATTTATCCATGAGAGTAATGTATTTATTTATTTATTTAAAACTTTTATATCCCGATCTTCTCTACCTCCGTAGAGGAACTCAGACCGGTAATGCACCTGAACTCTTATGGGAAAATAATGAAAGGCAAGAGACCAGTCCATCCTGGGAAAAACTAAAATAAGCAGTGATGCCCTTTACGCTCTCTGCTGTTGTGTCACTTCTGGCCATTTTGAGTGCCTGGGTGGGCAAATGGTAGTGGTGACCAAAGTCAGCTGGCCCTGAAGCAGCATTGGTGCTTCCCCTTCTCTGCAGAATGGCTATCAACTTCTCCATGGGTCATATCAAAATCTTAATTTTGGCACCAAAACCTACTCTTGACTAATATAGGAAGTAAACTCATACATGAGCATATATGCTGAGAAATGCAGTTACTGAATCACAAAGCCACATAACCTTCCATTCGAGCCTAAAAACATGGCTTTTTACATGGGCCTTAGACCTGGTGTAATGTACTATGGTCATGTGATGATGCCGAACATTGTTATTCAGCACTTTTGTTCATGTTTGAAGAAACCCAATGACCCACAGATTTGACTGTGTTTTAGGAATTTTTTAAAATCTTATTGATTGACATTGTCCATTGTTTGTATTTAGTCACATTGTGTATTGTTTTGATGATATGTAATTGTATTTTATTCTTGGAACCTTGAGTGCTTTGTTAGCCACCCCGAGTCCCTTTGGTGAGATAGTGGCGGAGTGTAAATAAAGTTTTATTATTTATTCATTATTATTATAACCAAGGCACACCAGGCAGAAGCCTGTTATCAATGTACCATTGGACATGGAGATTTCTGTCAGTATTGTGATGTAGTTACAAAACAATAGCCATCTACTCCATATGGGCATTGTGCCTTTTGACCATTCTACTTCCTGCATATTTACATTCAATTCATTGAGCTGCTGAGCTTGTTGATAGAAAGGTCACAGGTTCGATTCCGGGGAGCGGTGTGAGCTTCCGCTGTCAGCCCTAGTTTCTTCCAACCTAGCAGTTCGAAAACATGCAAATGTGAGTAGATCAATAGGTACCGCTCTGGCGGGAAGGTAACAGCGCTCCATGCAGTCATGCCAGCCACATGACCTTGGAGGTGTCTATGGACAACGCTGGCTCTTCGGCTTAGAAATGGAGATGAGCACCACACCCCAGAGTCAGACATGACTGGACTTAATGTCAGGGGACTACCTTTACCTTATAAGCACACAATGCTCAAACAGGACTCTGTTCTATAGTTACTATTTCTGTTGCTGCCTATAACACAAGCTCCCAATTTGATGAAAACATATTAGCCATATTAACCAGGGTTGAAATAGTTTAAAACCATAAACACTGAAAACCTCACAACCTCTGAGGATGCCTGCCATAGATACAGGCGAAACGTCAGGAGAGAATGCTTCTGGAACATGTCCATACAGCCCGAAAAACTTACAAAAACCCAGTGATTCCGGCCATGAACGCCTTCGACAATACCCTGTGAAGTATATCAGTTATTCATGTTTTATGTGGTACCTAAATGAAACAAGTGTTGGAGCTAAGGCTTTCCATATCTACGAACAACCTCTCTCATGTGCTCACACAGCATTTTGACTTCATTGGCAAGATACAGAGTAGGGACCACCTGTAGAGTAAAGTCCTCAGGCAGAAATTTGTAGGGAGGGGCAATCTCACAAATATACTGTAAAGATTACAAGATGCACAGGGCTTTTAATGTCACCACAAGCACCTTGAATTTAAACCGGATATGTTTTGGCAGAATCCAGTGCTAGCTGGAACTCTAGCAACTGGATTTAGATCTAAGTGTTTGTTAATGAAGCATTTGATCAAAACAAACATGGCTCTTGAAAAAGGCCTTACTCTTGGCCTCTGCAAGTCCTGGAAAATCTTGTGTAACCCTATTCATGTTTATTTAGAAGGAAATTCAGCTGTATTCAGTTACACTTACCAAGAGCTAAATAAGAATTACAGCCTTCAAGATGGAATGTGTACAGTTATTTCAGCGACCCCCTTCCCCATTTCAGTATCACTGTTGGGAGCTATCTACCACCAATCCATGCCTGTACTATCATCTCTCACTCTGACATATCTGAACCTCCTCCAGCTTTCAAACTAAGAATATTAGATCAAGAGGATCTCTTGTTAAATCTCTAACTTTGCTGTTAATCCTTTGTCAGGGCAGGGTTTACACCAGATACTACAATATACCCATGGAAAGGCATCCAAGCATAACAAAGCAAATAGTAGAAGAATTTTAAAGTTCTCCCACCCTGCACTGACTTTGCTTTTCCTTGTAATAACTTGTCCTGAACTCTCAATGTGTTACAACCACACCTTCATTTCCCCAGAACAGTTTTCAAACTATTTCCAATCTAATGGAAGAAAATGCTTCACCCCAATCTCTGCGACAGCCAACCATTGGGAATGCTGTAGCCATAATTAGAGAAATTGTATGTATAGATCATTAATCTCATTTTCTTGCATCGATTTAATCCAGGATTTGCTTCAAAGTACACTGAGCATGGTGGACCTGCTAAAATGTGTCACTGTAAACATTTTCATGAAGCAAGAGGAACAAGAGCACCATTTATATGGGCAGTACTGTGTAGACAGCAAAGTCCGCAAGGGTGTGATCTTCTCCACCCGCTATTGTTTTGACAGTGGAAGTGGTTCTACTTCTTCTCCAGAATGAAAGGTAATAATAAGTGACACCACACCACCATCACACAAAGAGATATGCTATAAGCCAGGCATGGGCAAAAGGGAATTGTGGGAGTTGAAGTCCAAACATCTGGAGGGCCAAAGTTTGCCCATGCCTGCTATAAACACACTCTAAGATGCTTCACAGAAAACAAAACTAGCACTAAATTAAGGGAGGTTTGATTTTTTAAAGTGACAATGTGCACTTGAATTCCTAATGCGGGCAACATAACTGCAGGAATTAGCAATTATGTGTTACATTCAGGTCCTTTTTAAAAAGTAGGTAGAGAAGTTTTGTTTTTGAAACTGGATTAAAGCACTGAGCTGCTGAACTTGTTGACCAAAAGGTCACAGGTTCGATTCCGAGGAGCAGCATGAGCTCCTGCTGTTAGCCCCAGCTTCTGCCAACCTAGCAGTTCAAAAACATGCAAATGTGAGTAGATCAATAGGTACTGCTCTAGCAGTGCTCCATGCACTCATGCTGGCCACATGACCTTGGAGGTGTCTATGGACAATGCTGGTTCTTCAGCTTAGAAATGGAGATGAGCACCAACCCCCAGAGTCGGACACGACTGGACTTAATGTCAGGGGAAAACCTTAACCTATACAATCATCTTTATGTATTAACCATACCATTTCTGCCTTCTATAACAGTATATAGTGGAAAAGGCAATAATCAAAGATATTAGAAGAAAAAGATGCCAACTCCTTGTGGAAAGGTGGTGATGCGGGCCAAGGAATGACATAAAGCACTTTGTTAGCCTGTAATATGCTTGAAAGCAAGCCCCATTCAGCCTAGTGGGACTTTCAACTACAATAAGGCTTCAGGAGGTTTTTTTTAAATGACAACTCATTTCCATTAGCTTGAGAGTATTCAGCCGCAGCACAAAAATAAGTTACAAACAGCACAGATACACCATACTGTTTACAAAAGCTTAGAGAACAGTCACGTATTCCAGACAGCTCTGAGCTTCTCATCATAATGTGCTTTCCAAAAAAGCGATTTTGATAGCTACCTCCCACCAGAAGCAGTACGTCAAGGAGTAAGGTAGACCAATTCATATCACAACATTAAGAAGAATTAGCTAAGCAGAAAATGGTACAGCATGTGCATGTCACATTTCTATTAACTTTACTGAACCAGGAGAAACTCATTATTTTTTATCTTGCTCTCATTCCCAGAAAATGAAAGGAATTTTGAATTCTTCACTTGTTCTTTAAAATCTTGTTTTTTTCCTTTCTTTCAACCTGTACTGTCATTAAGTGATGGCGCTCAATGGCATTATCATGAGCAGCATCAACATTTTAATGCCTGTAGGAAATAGATAAAAGGCTTCAAGTTGCAACATTACACATAGATTAAATTTGATGAAATTAAGCAGTTGAAGTGTACACGGGACTGCAATTTAACTATGTGGAGACCACTGAGTAGATCATGCAGGTCTACTCAGGTACAAATGCTATGGAATTCAATGGGTAAGTTTGTAACCTTAGAATAAAGAAACACTGGTAATAATTTTGTTTTAATCTAACGAGTACTCACTGCTAGCCTTTACCAAACTTCCAAAACTTTCAGAAGAACATTAGAATCTAATATATCATAGCAAAGAAATCCAGTGGCTCAGGAAACCGTTACTCACTTTCCACTCTGCTTCTTCCACTGTTTCAGGCTCAGCACTCCTACGCAGCATTCAACGTGTTCCCCCTCAGCCACCCTTTAAAAGAGCCCAAAGCACCCAAGAGTGATGGCAGATGATTGGTGAGGGGCACATCACATGAGACAGCCCTAGATCTGACCCAACCTGTTCTTCAGGTAGAGTTGGGCTAGTGGGTGTCTCTGGCTCTAAGATTCTCCGATTATGCCGGAATGTTGTTGTACACATATCCATTCACTAAATTCTGTGTTGTTTCTATTCTTTCATTCTGTCAGAAATGAACAGGTGACTCATCTATATGAGTGCATTAAAGTGAATAGACATAAAAAATAAGAACAGAAATGGTTGAGAAAGCATTCTGGAGAAGTAAAATCAAATTTAAAGACAAGTTTTGGGCAAGGGAGAAAAAAAGTAAAACAATTGAGTTTATGATATCTTTATCATGGATCCCCAAAAGTATCCCCCAGATTTCCATTATTACTTTTTTTTAACATCAAACATCTAATTGTAATCCATTTTCTTTTTGGACAGAAATAAATCAGAAGTGTTTTGGATATACAGTAGAGTCTCGCTTATCCAACATAAACAGGCCAGTAAAATGTTGGATAAGCGAAAATGTTGGATAATAAGGAGGTATTAAGGAAAAGCCTATTAATCATCAAATTATGTTATTATTTTACAAATTAAGCACCAAAACATGTTTTACAACAAATCAATAGAAAAAGCAGTTCAATACACAATAACGTTATGTACTAATTACTGTATTTACAAATTTAGCACCACAACATCGCAATGTATTGAAACAGCTGTGGATCTGGGCAGGAAACAGACTGTGTTGGATAATACAGAATGTTGGATGAGTGAAGGTTGGATAAGAGAGACTCTATTGTAAAACCCTTCACATAGTTCAGTGATACCCAACATTTGCTCTTATAGGTGTTTGGGACTTCATTATCAGAGGCCCCAGAATATTTTCCAAACTGTCAGGAATCCTGAACACCAAAAAACCTCGAGGACCAAAGGTTGGAGAACCATTGATAGGTTGCAATCTGTTAAGCCCAACTCAAATATTTGTTGTTGAGGTTCCAGCTTCTATTTGTTCCATTTGTTCTATAAGGAAATAGAATAAATGGAGCCTACCACAAAACACTGCTATATCTACTTATAAGCATGTTCAGAGTAATATTTTCCACCTAGACCTTATACCAGTGGTTCTCAACCTGTGGGTACCCAGATGTTTTGGCCTTCAACTCCCAGAAGTCCTAACAGCTGGTAAACTAGCTGGGATTTCTGAGAGTTGTAGGCCAAAACCCCTGGGGACCCACAAGTTGAGAACCACTGCCGGATTCCTCAGAAAGCATCTTGCCCCCACCATCATTACTAGGAAGGCAAATTGTGCTACAACTTCTTATACTATTAAATGTAGTCACATCCTATGGTTTTCTCCAGGCCAGGAATTTAAAACTTCACCGACTAATCCCTTAATGCCTAAGTTACTATTTAAATAGCAAGTCTAGAAAACTGCCGATCTTGCCAACAGAACTAGAACATGAGTACTACTGTCAATATTTCTTCAGCTATTTCAATTGCTTCCTTAATTTCTCCCTATTCTCTCAGAAAATCACCTGTGTCTGAATTATGATGTCATGCTTGATGTGACTCTCTCAAATAGCTTCATTTCAGATTTTGTCTAGACTTCTTTGAGCTAAGCTTGGTTTAGAATGGCCCCATACCCTGTCTGTAGTGTCATGAACTCTTGCTCAAACAAGTAAGTCTCACCAAGGGAAGGAAATAGATACAAGGTATTAGGAAGGCCTCATATCTACAAAGGAAGCTTTTGCAAGGCATCTCCTTATCCAGAAAGCTCATAGACAGATATTTCCTATGAGTAGGGAGTGGTCAGATGATTTGTGATCAGAAGAACTACAAGGTGTTTCAGTATTAGGGGAATCACGGTTCAAACATATTCGTTTTTCAGAAATACGTACCGAATGCTTAAAAATATTAATAGTTTATTATTTTATTTTTAATATATGCTTTTTATTGCCGAAGGAACAGGCATCATTATTGTTTGCAGCTGTATGGCAGCCAAAATTTCAACAAGTGCTTGATTTAGCAATGGCTGGGAAGAGAGGCTGAATCTTCTTGCTTGAATAACAGAATGGAAAAGTGCTTTCAACACATTTTCCAATCTCCTCCTCCACATGTGCTTCAGCAAATCTCTGCAAAAGGTCACACAGCCTACACGCAGGAGGCAGCACACTCAAGGATGACTTCACGTCATTTTGTGTTATTAGCAGAGGAAAATATTTTTAAATGGCCAAATGTGTCTTAAGAATGAAAAAGATGGTTTTAAAAGGTAATTAGGGATGCATTCTTCTATCTGCTACCATTATAGGCAGTGTGAGCAGATAAGAGGTCGTGTCCTTTCCCCAGAAATGAATCAAGGCATTTTGGTAACTTGGATAGAACTATAACCTTTCAAAAAACCAATAAAGGCCAATTCTAAAAAAATGCAAAAGAAATGGGGAGACATTAATTTCCTCCCTCTCAAAATCTCTATTTTAGGGGTGAACCTTATTTTAATTTTAATGCAGAGAAGTCAATGAAAGATGATTTACTTTAACTGTGTTGAAACAGACTTGTGAGCTGTCTGAGCTGTGATCTCAGAGCATTCATAAAAGGTAACTTTAGCTTAATGGTGCCATAAGGAAAAAGCTTTGAGGCTGAAGAAATAAGAACTTCATAGAATTCAACCTTTATTTTAAAGTGAATGCAGCAATATACACATGTACCTAAGGAATTCCACTTCACCCCTATCAGGCCATTATGTCCAGAGCAAAACTTTTAAATGTACAGTTAGGTAAAAGTAAAGGTTTTCTCAGAAAACTCACTGCAGCATTTTCTACCTGAAGCTTCTGCTTTAGTGGAAAAACCACCCCTGACCACACTCATTTTTTCCCCCTCTGGAAATGGAAGGAAGTATGTAACACCAGTTTCTTCTCCTTTTAGAAATCTTCAGTGGCAAGATTGTGCACTTCAGTAATCCTGGGTGGAGTCTAATTTCTGGAGTCAAAGTTCAGACAGCACTAGCACTAGGATACCTGATTATGTTCAGAAGGGGTTTTTTTCTCAAAGAACGGAAAGCTCTGACATTTTAGAACTGGTTGACACAAGTTCATCCCCCTGGCTTCTGAATGCAGATGAACGGAAGGGGCGGGGAGTCCCATACTGTGTCTAACTATGGCTCGCAGTGGTGAAACTATGTCTCACTTGTTATGCATTCCCCCAGTCGAAGACAGAGGTGAGCAAACTGTGGTCTTCCAGATGTTGTCAAATTGCAGTATCTAGCTTCTCTAATCAACTGTAAGGAATATTGTAAATTGCAATCCAACTACATCTGAAAGGCTGCACTTTTGTCCATCAGTTTTAAGAAAATGGATCATTAGAGGCACCCTATTTAACACAAAAGCCTGGTTATAAGGTGGTTCCAGACAGACATTACAAAATTAATCTCCTTAGGGTGGCAAGGACATAATGAAATTTGCTCTTTTGCTGCTAGTATTGTCAAGCAAGAATTGCTTTTGCCCAAACTAGCTTAACAGGCTGATAGTGCAACAAATTTATTAGATGAACAGGGAAAGTTACTCATGAAGCAAGCTATGGGGTTAAGGTTTTTGTTTTTAGAAAACAGCTTACACCTGTGTGTTCAAACACGGTTGTATGTGTTGTTGCTCTATGGATCTACTCAGAAGTAAGTCTTTCTGCCTTTAGTGGGAATTGCTTTCGAGTAGATTTAGGGAAACTGGAAAATTAAAGCAGTTTGACCATAACTTTACCTGCCACTGCTCAATGTTATAGAATCATGAAAATTATAGTTTGGTGAGAAACCACCAATTTTTGGCAGAGGAGGCCAAAGATCTTGTAAAACCACAGCCCCCATGATTCTATAGCATTGAACCATGGCACTGAAAGTGGTGTCAAACTGCATTAATTCTACAGTGTAGGTGCACCCTTAAGATCTGAAGACTTGGATGTCTAAACAAGCCTTTGAGAACATCAAGCCCCAATGGTCCTCAATCAATGACACAGCGCTGCACTTTTATCCCATGTCCTGTTCCTTAGCTATAATTTGCACCATCCCATTCCCTTGTCTTGTTTACAGTTTGGCCATGTCTTATGGGAGTTATCAAAGGTCATTGGGCATTATTCTGAGTTTTCAACTGTTGTTTTATATGCTATAGTTTTTACTTTATTTTATTGTACTGTGTATTTATTTTATGTTTTGTCTCATCACCTTGTGCCATACGTAAGCCACCCTGAGTCCCTTCGGGGAGATGGAGGTGGGGTATAGCAATACAGTTATTATTATTATTATTATTATTTAAACTTACTCCTGGGTAAATCTGCAAAATGTCTCTTTCAGCCTATACAATGATAGTACTTTTATATTACTGTAGGTGCCATGGTACTATCCTTTACTATCTCAGGGTTTGTAGTTTTGTGAGGTATTGAAGATTTTCTGGCAAAGATCTCCAGTGCCCCAACAGATTACAAATTTCAGGATGATTGTAGAATGTAGCCATGGCAGTTCAAGTGATGATAAACTGCTATAGCTTTGTAGTATGGAAGAAATGTATCTATTTTATTCATTTCTGGTATAATAAGTGCTTAACTAAGAAAACATAGCACCAAGCAGATCAACCATGGAAAGCAGGGCAAAAGTATGCTAGCTAGGACCCTACAAACCCTATGCTAGTTGCGCAACGAGTGTCAGAATTAATGAAGGGAAGTCCACTTGGACTGCTCCCAGCTGCTGGGTCTGCTTTCTTCAAAGGGCGGAAAGTGTGCTGGCAGCTAGGGAAGGTTCCTCAAGGCCCTAGTGCGAACAGAGTGGCAGGAACCAGATTCCCCCCTTCCCCTCTTCTTCTGCTTTCCCCCGGCCACTTTCTAACAGTGGAGGAACTGGGGCTCTGCGAGGGTAGGATGTGTGAGCTGTAGACCCCCTCCCTCGCAGCTGCGTCTCTCATTCGCTGGGCTGTCTCGCGCACGTCTTTCCTTCATGAATTTTGCCCTGTGGTGTGCAACTAGCATAGGGTCCCAGCTATCATACTTTTGCCGGAAGCAGTCCTACATGGCATCAGAATGGTCTTTATTACTTCGAAATGCTAGAAGGGTCAGGCAGTCCTTTCAGATGTTAGACATTGTGGTTTGAAAATGTTATTTTAGGAGATTATAATGTCCTGATTTCTCCATCCAGCATTTAGAGAATTGTAGCATAAAGAAATAACTTATTCAAATATTTGTTGCACCCATTTTTCCAATACAGCACACAAAGCACAGCTGTGGTTTTTTAAAATAGGGACATCATATAGGCAATAACTGCCCAAACTTCTGCTGCAAACCAAAAAACCCCAGGGCAAAGATTTACGCAGCTGAAACTCACCTGTCACTTGAGAGAGACACACACCTTATAACCTTGCATTCGTCAGTAAGTTTTGTGAAAGGAAATGTGAACCCCACCCATCAGAGACAACAGTCTTGTTTCCTAAAGATGAATTAAAGGTGCGGCCTGAGGCTCCAAATCCTGACGACTGTGGTTGACATATATTCAGTGAAGTGCAGCATCCAGTTTCTTCACATTTTAATACCATATAACATTCCAGGTAAGGAATGACTAGTGCCATGCTTGGAGAAGAGCCTGGGTAAAACAACCCCAAAGTACATAATCTCTCAAACTTCACAAGGCAGTATGGTGTAATGGTTTGAGTGTTGGACTATGACTCTGAAGACCAAGACCAGGGTTTGAATTCCCACCTGGTCAATGGCAATACAATGCACTGGGTGATCTTGGGAAAGTCACACTCTCCCAGCCTCTGAGGAAGGCAATGGTAAACCTCTTTTGAACAAATCTTGTTAAGCAAACCCTGTGATAGGTTCGCCTTAGAGTCACTATAGCCTGGAAACAACTTGAAGGCACTCAACAAAATTAAACTATATTAATCCTTCTCAGGACCATACAGAGGAATGGAGATGCTTCTGGATGCTCAACTCTCTTTCTCAGAGAGACAAACAGACATAAGCACAATATTAATTTCTGTTTAAAGAGCTTAAATGGAATAAGTGAGGTCTGTTTCCATGTTGTCATGGAACTCTCTGAAAGAAATTTGAAACTGCAGACTCCCTGTTTGACACCAATAAAGATTGTGAAAGACGTGGCAAATTTTGCAAAAACCTGTTTTGAATGACAATTTTGCTCAGAGTTGGATACAGCCCTGGCCCTTGATGCTTTTAAAGCCATACAAGCACCTTCTCAATTCTCAAAAATTATTTTTTTAGATGGTTGTAACTCCAGTAATCTCTGGGAGCAATTTTTCAAGCTTGATTGGTAAATATCACTAGCCTGCGACGATATTTCGGTGTTTCATTTCCTTTCTGCTTCTCTGTCAGGTGCTATGAAAGCATCCAGACAAACAAGCAATTAGACATTTGGAGAGAAAGGAAGTGATGCCTTTGTTTTCTAGGTTGGTGCACATTGGTTTAATAAGACAGGCCTCACCCTATTATGAGACTATGATTCATGCACACCAGACCTGATGTTTATGTACTGTGTGAACATACTCATGATCCTCCACCCAGCAATTCTTCAAGGAATTAGGCCAGATATCTACCATATTCTGTGATTCTAAGGACCTCATCAATTAGCCTTGGTTCTAGGACATTTCCAGGATGGAGCCAGGATGGAACCTGCCAAAGATCATCACATGACGCAGAAGCTATTGTGGGGGGAAGCTGGACAGCGACATTTTCTCTCATGTGATGGGGAAAGCAATGATGCGAGGCATGGGGTGACGGTTTCCCCTGCTGCCCCAAGGATTCACCATGCTGCTTGGTGAATCCTGCTGTCACCTGACTTGAGGACCTCAATGTGATTACATCTTTAGACTCTATTGATTGTAAGGTGAACACTATTTTTGGTGCCACTACAACCAAAAAAAGGAGAGCTTTATTTATGAATATATAAAAAGCAGAGGCCATTACAATACACATGTTTTAGAGATGTTTATTCAGGGGGGAAAGCACAACTAAGAATCAAAGAAATACAGCAGTAAAGTATTCAACAGACAGAACTTTTAGTCTATCACAAAGCTGTGAGTGATAGCACAGTAATAGTCCTTTAAACTAGCCACCCTACTCCGCGTTGGGCACTGTCCTTTTAATTTGTATAGAAGGAGAAATTAAAAATGTTGCTTTTATAGCACTTAGCAGGCAACAAGCAAACTTGCTGAAATTCCCTTTGCAACACAACAATTAAAAGTATAGAATCACTGAGTTGGGAGAGACTCAATGGGCTACCCATTCCAAACCCCAGGCATACAGGAAAAACACAATCAAATCCCCTGATACCTGTCTCTGGTTTTCAATTTAGTGACTTAATTTCTGAGGTCAATGACAAGATTGACCTCCAATAGCCCTTCATCGTATGTACAGGAGTTGGACTGGAAGTTGATCTTTTCTTCAGCACTAACAACGGGATGAAGTCCTCCAGAAGACTTCAGACCATTTAGGAGAAGTGTGGCAGACTATGTTGGGACTCAGGAGGCAAAGTTCCAACCTGAGAAGCTTGCCTTCCTCCGACTAAAGGGTTGGTGGATCTTGTATTAAGTTTTTAATGTCAAACTTTACATTGAAGGGGCAAATTAGGAAAAGTGGAAGTAAATTTTAACAGGGAGGGCTTCATCAGGTTTTGTCATTAAATGAACAAAGAGATTATTGCAATGGGTTTATTTTGTTATGGTGTTAAATGTATTATTATTATTATTATTATTATTATTATTATTACTGTGTTGTTGAAGGCTTTCATGGCCGGAATCACTGGGTTGCTATGAGTTTTCTCGGCTGTGGAACATGGCCATACAGCCTGGAAAACACGTAGCAGCTCTATTATTATTATTATTATTATTATTATTATTATTATTATTAATTTTATTTATACTCTGTCTTTCTCCCCATGGGGACTCAAGGTGGCTACAAATTGCACACAAGGGTCATGTTTGCAGCCACAATATTAGGGCTGTCGGAATAATCTGAAGCTAAGGAAACTATTTGTGGAACTTCGGTTTTGAGCAATGCCCTCTGAAGCAATTGATCCAGACAAACTAGCTGTGATTTATGCTGTAGCATAAAAGTCATACCAAGAATGTTTTCTGTACAGCACATAGATCATCAGATTTCTCTGTTTGGTGCATTTATACAAATCTCTTCAAATCTATAGATAAATGTTGTGATAGTGACACTGATGATGTGATGCAGTACAGACCTAAGATACATTAATATCTGACTTAATACTCAGAGGAGATGGCACAAATGAGACAGGAGATAAGGAAAATGGTGAAAAGTGACAAGGAGAAATGTAATGGGGCACACTGGAAATTCATCCTGTGGACAGTTTTTATGCTGCATTTCCCCAGAATGGGGTGAATGAAGTTGCTACTATTCTTCTTTCTGTAGTGCTTTCATCAATCTGTGAGACAAGGATGAATCCGGTATTTTTACAGTAGTAGAAATGAAAGGCAACATATCCTCCCCTCCATTCATGTTTGTTGTAATGTGAGATTTGTTATTCACCTGTCCCAGTATGGCTGCATAATGTTGCACAAAATATCAAAAGCACACAACACCAATATTATCTTTCACTGGTGTCTGGAGGCCCATTGAGTGTATCCTGCCATATAAGTCCTTCTCTTTTGTAAGAAATCATCCACAAGTCTGCTTGGTGGTGGAGAAAGAAAAACAGTTTTTGTGTATCTTAAATACTGGTGAATTTACTATGGTATAAACGTTTGGGATGAACTGTGGCCCAATTGGTCTCATTTCTGACTTGGGAATGTCACTACATCTGAGCATTCTCCTGGGTAGAACCCCAAGGACTGCTCAGTTGAACCCCATCCTGCCAGGAAGGAATACACAATCAAAGCACTCCTGAAAAATGGCCAAACAGTCTTTTTTTTAAAAAATCTTCCACAGAAGGCTCTTACCATCAGGAAGTTTCCTTCAATATTCAAGCAGAACTCATTTCTTGTAGTTTGAATCTATTGCTCCGTCTCTTAGCTTCTGGAACAGCAGAAAACATGCTTGCTCCATCTTCAGTATGCTCCATTTTTCAAATATTTAAATATGACAATCATGTTCCGTTTTAACTTTCTCTTTTCAATTTTTTTCTGCACTAATTACACTTTTTCCTATTCTAGAAGGTCTTTAAAACTATGTTGCTAGTGCTGTATCTCTCCACTTGACTACTATGATATAGATTATATTGGCATCATAATCAGAAATCATGTAATATTAGCTTTCATTTAGTTCTTTGGGCTCAGAGTTTGGAGGCTAAATTCAAGATATTCATGCTTATCAGTTTGGTATGATGTAGCCATGAACAGATACTAGAGAGCACATATTATAATTTATTTATTAATTTACAGTATTTATACCTCATCTTTCTCACTCCAAAGGGGACTAAGAGTAGCTTACAGAACACCCATATGGCAAACATTCAATGCTGATTATACAATTAACAAGGACAGACAATACAACAGAGGTAAAAGCAGTTTTTCCCATCTGATTTCCAGCACCTTGGAGGCTGTGCTTGACTCCGGCCACAGGGGGTACTGTTGTTCCATTTTCCATGCCAAGGAGCTTTCGTCCAAACGATGTCCTTAAGGACATATTACCACTAAAAGTGATACTTATTTATCTACTATCATTTCTGCTTTCAACCTGCTACATGGGCAGGTGAGCTGTGGCTGATAGCGGGTGCTCAACCCCAACCTGGGGTCAAACTGCTGACTTTTCAATAAACAGAATTTTTTTGCAGCACAGTGCAGAGCTAAACCACTGGGAAAAGGAATAATGAGCCCCCACATGCTTATTCATGGTCTATATTTAATTGTATGAAACGCCTTAATGGATGTTCTGTTCTGTAAAAAGCCCAACACATTTTTGGCTGTACATTGAACTGAATGAACTTTTCAGTAGTTACATTACAAACAAATACAAATATCAATTAGACAGTAAGATTTAAAACTTAGGATAATACATAATTCAAGTTATATTCTTGTAAAATACCTAATAAATCACATTAATTATACTTAGTTAAAAAACATATACAAACTGTTCAATATATCAACATCAGAAATTTCCAGAAAAAGATATTCTCCATAAAAAAGATACCATGCTTCTAAATTTTATTTATTTATACATTTTAACAGATTGCAGTTGTTTAAGAATAAGCTGCAATATCTACACATCATGTTTCAAAGTAGATATATCCATGAAGGTGTTTTCCTCCACCATCTGTTCTACTGTAATATTTTGGAACTGGAGCAAATCTGGAAGGGGAGCACTGTAGCTCCCCTAAACCACAAAATTTATAGATCCAGGATACTCGAAGGACTGTCTTCTTCCATATATTGCATCCTGTTTTTCTGAGAACTTAGGCTCAAAACAAAATAAAATGAAACCCTTGTCTGTCCTATCATTTGTCAGGGTGATGACCAACTTAGGATGTCTTCTTCAGCCAGTCGTACCCATGTTCCTGTGCCTCTAAATCAGAAAGCTGTTTTTTTTTAACACAAGATACCAAGGACATTTTCCTCTGCCAAATCTTTTGTGACCAAGTTAGTGTTTTACAGTTGTCTCCTCTATTTTGAATCTGTCCCTCTTGTAATACTTTATTGCTACTGCTGTTACTTTATTAACATTTTCTTCTTAATTGCAAGTCATTATGAGAACAATGGCTGAAAGGTTACAAGTTGTCAAAAAGGAAATAAATAAATACATCTGTTACTTTGTTAACTGCCAAAAACCTTTGTCACTTTTTGCAGCAATAGATTTGGAATTTGAAGGCTTCCTTTGCTCCAGCTACACAAGGGAATTGTGCCTGGATTGGTTGTGTGCAAGCATGAAGAAATCAAGAAAATAGCTTTTTGGGGAATACAACTCCTAAAATCCACTAGGTGCCATTACCATGCTGGTAGGGGGATTATGAGATATGCCCTCAAAAAAAATTAATGTTTTGGAGGTCTTTATCTTACCTACAGTGGAGAATACATTGAAGGTGCAAAACAAGATCTTATTTTGAGGGCTTGAGAGAATGACTTAGGAAGGTCAGCTCAATACAATTCAAAAACTAGCGACATGAGAGAGTGGTGTCAGTAGACTTGAGAGAATCATATAATCTTAGAGCTTGAAGGAACTATAAGGGCTATCAAGTCCAATCCCATACAATTACAGAATTGCATAACCAAAACATTTCTAAGAGATGGGATTCCTAACTATTTTAAAATCTCCTAACATCTAATGACAATAGCATTTTTATTTCTGATTTGAACTCATTGCTCTGGGTCCTGTTCTCTGGAGTAGCAAGAAATGATCTTATTCCACTTCCATTAAAGAACCTTTCAGACGTTTAAAGATATATGTAGAGATATTTGGAGATATTTAGAATCGTAACTGTCACCTCTCTATTTTTTCTTCTTTGTGCTAAACAAACCACTCCTGTTTGTCAGAGATCTTAGTTTCTTATTTTATTCATTTATTTATTTGTGGTATTTGTATACCACCCTTCCCAACCTCAAAGGGGACTCAGGACGGTTCATAGTGTTGGCAACAATTCAATGTCATTGATTAAAAAAAAACAGTATAAAATATCAAAATTGACCCTCCTCTGATAAAACATTAAACATTATTAAACACATCATATAAAATAACATCACATATCACACAAAGACATATCCATTGTCCATAAACAGTCATTGCATTTTCAACGTGCCCTTCACCTTCTTCCAGACTTATTCCAGCTTGTCAATTTCCCATTTGGATTATAGTGTCCAGCACCACACACTAGTCCAGGTTAGGTCTAACTGAAGTAATGTATTACTTCCATCTATTCTAGACAGTATAGTGCTATTGATGAAGTTTTCAACAGAATTTATTCCTGCCATGTCACGTGGCTTATGTTTAGCTTGTGGTTTATTAATATCTTTGGATTCTTTTCACACATACTGCTGTCAAGTCAGGTGTCACTCATTCTATATTTGTGTATTAGCTTTTCCTCCATAAATGCAGTATCTTATATTCTCTCTTGAAATGCAGTTGTCCCAGGTCCTGTTAAGATCACCTTCAAACCTGATTTTGTCTTTAGAGGTATTACCTGTCCTGCTTTGACATCATCTGAAAATTTAGTAAGCATGCCATCTGTTTCTTCATACAAGTAACTTATGAAATTGCTAAGCACAGCTGGACCCAACATATACACACAGATATTACTTTTCTCTAGGATAATAATAATATAAAACTTTATTCATATTCTGCTCTATCTCCCCAAAGGGACTCAGAGCGGATAACAAATTGGTGAGCATTCTTTGAGTAAGCATCAGTCAATCGGTAGGTAACTCAATAGGAGGTGGGAATCCAAAAAAATAAAAATCCCTATCCATGTTGGATTGAATGTGTTCAATGGAAAGCTTCTTGCTTGGGAAATGGAAAATATGACAGAATCTGAATGTAATGGATCACATTGGAGTACTGCATGTTGTAACATTCTACTACAAATCCCTTTTGTCAGAATGACTTTCTAATGAGCAAAAGGAAATGGGATTGTTTGCTAACAAAGATGGAAAGTGAAGAACTCAAAGTGTAATAAAAACTGCATTCCTCGGGATACAAAGTGAGTTAAGGTTGTTAAACTAAATTATGTAGGGAGCATGATATGTTTTGTCTCAATCGGAGTTGATGAGAAAGGCAGTGATAGAAGTTAGTCCTCATGTCAGTAGAATGGTGAACATACTCTGGGTTTTAGTCTCAATTTTAAAAAGCCTATGTAAACTGCTGAAACTATTTTGGGAGCAGGGCTCACCACCTTACATAACATTTAAGACCATAGACCACCTACTACAATGCAGCCTGAGTCCTGCCACATGCACAATGGAGGACCTCATTATAGCAACACCAGAGGCACTCCAAGTGGCCAACTACTGGTCAAAGGACATTTAATATAATGCCAAGTTTTAAAACTTTGTGTTTTTCAAATACACTACAACTGTAGTCTTGGTTCGCTTTTGATACAATAAATAAATAAATAACATTTAAGGAAAAACCAAGGCCATCTTGTTTTTAAGTGGCTCAGAAGAAGCTTATGATTTAATGGTGTAAGAATAGGAAGTAAAGGACATTTTAATATTGTTTGTCATGTGTGGGATATTTTTTTAAAAGCCATGACCCACATACTCTTGTGACAAACATTTTGGGGGCTCTCACTCCATATTTGGAAGGATCATCAGCACTCTTTTAGCCACACACACACACACACACAAGTCAAAATGGCCATTTAGATACAGGGCAAAGCAAAGAATAATGAGAAGACACACACATTACTAAACAAACAATTATTACTGGTGCTCACCTCCATAACTTCTCTGGTCTCAGAATGGGTCAGAATAGAAAGAACTTTTCATAGCTTTTGCAATTGACAGTAAACTCCTACCCATCATGTTACCATGCAAAGTATGGAATTCATTTTGTAATTTTTAGAATACCAACTGTTTTGAACCATAGATACCAATTTTAAGGCATCTTAATTAAAATCTGAATGCCACTTTTAAAAAACGCCAACAACCAAGGTTTCCTTTAAGTGATAAGGATAACAAGATCAAAACTGTCCTTGAAATACTGCTAAAGGTTAGAAAGATAATATATGTGAGGCACTTTCGATGCTAGAAAAATATGCTAGACATTATTATTCAGAAACTTCAATCCAGTTCAATGACTGATTATCTTAGAAAGCAATAAAGAATGGAAACATTTATGCAAATACTTCACATGTGTTAGATTCAAAATCTGTGGAGCAAGCCTGCATTTTAGAATTAGTTGAACTGACGGTGCTTCCAGGTGGTTGTTAACGCAAAAGGTTCCCTTTGGCTAGCAAGCCTTTGAACATAGGTGACCTTGTTAACTGCCACATCAGTTTATTTACCTTGGAGCCACACTGCCAATTAAAATTCTCTTTGCAAGAAGACCGTGACCTCTTGCTGCCACCTCCTGGTTTCCTATTGGAAATGCTAGAAGTTATATTTTTGTTTGGTAAAAAGATAACAGCTTCAGCACTTGTAGAAAAATAAAGTTTTGTACAATGGAAAATTTGTGTTCTAACCAACGAGACATAACTTCTTCCATAATAGAGTATTCCACGTACAAGATTTTATGTTCCTCTGCTCCCAAGAGTGAGCATTCTGTGCCTACTGGGAATACCGCATACTCACATTGAATAACACTTCACTATCAATGACTTGAATGATGGAAGAGAGGGCATGCCCATCAAATCTTCAGATGGCACCAATTTAGGAGGGGTGGCTAATACTGCAAACCAACAAAACCAATAAATTTCAACAGGGAGAAATGTAAGCTGTAATTAGGCAAGAGGAAGGAGGAGGGGAAAAGATGAAATGTAGAGATATTGGATGGGTCGCATTTGGCTTGACAGCAGTACATGTGGAAGGGATCTAGCAATCTTAAATCACAAGCTGGAAATGAGTCGGCAGTGTTATAAAAAAGTAAAGGTTTCCTTTTGGCATTAAGTCTAGTTGAGTCCGACTCTGGGGGATGGTACTCATCTCCATTTCTAAGCCGTAGATGCCTCCTAGGCTGGCATGACTGCATGGAGTGCCATTACCTTCCCACTGGAGCAGTATCTATTGATCTACTCACATTTGCTAGGTTGGCAGCAGCTGGGGCTAACAGTGGGAGCTCACCCTGCTCCTCAGATTTGACCACCAACATTTTGGTCAGCAAGTTCAGCAGCTCAGCTGTTTAACTTGCTGTGCCCCTGGGTTAAACAGCAATTTTATACAGCTGCTAAAAAAAACCCAATGTGATGTTAGGCTGCATCAATAGGAAAATAGTTAGATCAAAGACATTACTATATATTACCACTGTATTCTGTTTTTGTCAGAATTCCCCTGGAATACTGTGCCCAGTTCTGGACACTACAGTTCAGGAAAGATTTCAACAAGCTGGAATATGCCCAATATGATATAGGTTCTGGAGGTTAAGCCCTACGAGAAGAGCCTTGGGAAACAGGATGTTTAGTCCGGAGAAGAGAGTAAGTGGGAATATAATAGACATGATTAAATATTGGAAGATGGAACGGGCTTGTTTTCTGCTGCTCTCAAGACTATAGGATACAGAGTAATGTTCTTCAGACTATAGGAAAAGGGATTCTACCTGAATATTAGTAAAACTTTCCTGATGGTGAGAGCTGTTCAACAATGGAATATCTTCCCTCAGAGAGTGGTGGAGTCTCCTTTGGAGGATTTTTTAAACAGAGACCAGATGACAATTTGTCAGGAATGTTTTGCTTGTGCAGGGGGCTGGACAGGAAGGTCCTTGTGGCCTCTTCCAATTTCACAATTCTATGATTCATTGGGTAATATAATCTTTGCTTTCCACATTTTAATTTCATACTCCCAAGGGGTTTTGTACTTCTCTACATCTGCCATTTCATCTGAGCAGGCTAGGAAGTGCTATTCTGGCTACACAAGGGCAAACATTTCAGCAAGTAATTTTACTACTGTTATATATGATGATTTTAAAGTGGATTCCCTCATGAACACACAGAGATTCTGCCTGCAGCAGGGAGATAATATTAAGAAATGTCCCAATTGTCACCTTAGTCTCCTGTCTGGTGTAAGTAGTAGGATTGTTATTTCACACATGCATTGAAAAAGAAGATTGGCATCAAAGAGCTTAAGTGCCTCTTCATAATGCAACCTAGAGATCCTTTATGATCTCTAATAAAGCAAGAGACAATGTTCTGCTGTCCATTACCCCGACAAAAACTATAGTGGGTAAATAGGAACCCACTTCCATTCCTCACAGTGGGTGATAACTGGGAAGTTTGGATAACAGAAACCATGGCTGCTTTATCTCCCATTGCAGTGGAAATTCAAAAACATACCAATACTTTCCAAATTTCAGCCTATGGATATCTCAAAGGAGAATTGGAATTCGTGAATATGGGGAGAGAAGAGAGAAGCAAAGAGAAGCATCTAATACTGCAAAACTGAGATAAAAGGCTGTTGACCCCACCCAGCTGTTCAAACTGGTGAATCAAAGAGATCACAGGTGCTATATCAAAATACATTTATTCAGTAGAATTGGCACCTTTTATAGGCACATGATCAGCAGCTGTACATAAACAGCTAAGCACTGCTTATGACATCAGAACAATTCTTACTTTCCATAAATTTTTCTTCTGCAAAGAAACCCCAATCCACTATACATGTTGTCATTTGTTCCTGGAACATTTTGAAGGCACAGGAACCCATCCCCTTCTGAAACCACCAATAAAAAAATTCAGTAAACTTCTTTAGACCATGAATCACAATATCAGAAGGCATAAAATGGATTGTCAGGAGCTTAACTGAATTTAATGGGACCAACTGGAGATAACTTGAGGGTTCAAGTTAGGAAGATGTGAAGCATGGTGAATCCCAGTAAAGTATTAAGATTGTGTGCCTTTCAATATCCAGCAGGACTGTAAGGCGCACATAAAAGGGCCTACGTAAGGCGGACTGGGTCACAAATACACAGAGATACTGAAAATAGATACTGGAGAGAGCATGGTGATAAATGATATCAGAAGAGTGTCATTTGTAATCATCCAGCCAGCCAACCTAAAGGTCAATCTAGTCCCTGAGTCTAAAACAATTTCCTCCCCTGAATTAGACATAACAATCTTTAACAGTGTCATTCTGGTTGTCCTGAAATAGCCTTTCATGAATTCCAGATCTAGAATTCAGAAGTAACTACTAGCAAAAACGGTTCTTATAATGTCCAGAAACACTTCTCATTCTGAGTCAATTGGCAGCAAAAACATCAAGCTAAAGGAATCATAATGCTTCCCTGTTGGAGGTTTGTTTATCGATCCCCAAAATATTTACTTGCAAGTATTTGAGTGAGCAACATACACGACTGAACTAAGTTATGATCTAACTTAATTAATGATTCATAACAAAAATCAGCCAGCTGTTGGGGATAACGTGTGAAGATTTCTCCACAGAAAATAATAACCGTGCTCACATACAACAAACTACTGTTATAGGGAGAAGGCACTTCTTCCTGAAATTTAGGCTTTATACATACAAGGAGGGGTTATTATTTTGTGTGGAATCATTTACCTTGTGAAATCATAGATTTAATCTTAAATTTGGACATCCATTAGGAATGGCATTATCCAGTTGTAGTTGCAAAGAGAAACTATTATCGCCAAAATAAATGACTTTTGGATACTGCAGTTTCTCAGTAGTTATGTTTCCTGGAATTCATGTGAATATATATGCTCCTGAGAAGCAGCACATTTTCTATCCTTTTAGATAATCCAACACACTACTCAAGGTGGAGAAAATAAGTTATCTCTGACTCTGTAAACATATATAATTTGCATATATGGAGCATAAATGAGAGCAGTGCTCGAACACGGTGCACCATGAAGATGTCTAACGAATTGTTGAGCGTTCTGTAGTCCGTCATCTTTCACAATTCTTCCAGTGCTTTCGCCATTTTCCTAATTTCTATCATATTCTGAACCTAAACATAGCAAAACAAACAAGTGAGAAAGGAATCTATCAGCGCTGGAAGACTCCACAGAAGCTACTACTGTCGCCCACTAATGACAGTTTGAGGTACCCTGAGGTATTGGGAAAAAGGCAGGATAAATATAAAGTAAATAAAGGCTTTGTGCACATTAACGTTTTACTGTACATTAACTTTCTTATGCAGAAGGAACAACACAAGCTTTTGTTCTTATGTGAACAACAAATTCTGAAGGAAACCAGAGTAGGACTGGAGCAGGGCAGGTTTCGTTTCTTCCTTCCTCTTGGTTGCAATCTGTACAAGAACTTGTACCTTCATGCCTCCAAGTGCTGCATTAGAGGAGGCTGCATTAGAGGAGGCTTAGTTCCTTCCATTGAATTCTAAGCATAAGGCACCCATAGGGTTCTATGCAGATAACGATCCTGCTGACATCTGATTACCCTAAATATTCATGTATAACTCCAGAAATTTTAGTTTAAAAATCAGCACAAAAAACTGAGATGGCTTATACACAAATCAGTGTAAATACTGTACCTTATAGAAAGAGCCAGCCCCTTCTCTGAGTAGAGTGGTAAAATGCAAGAGCTTAATGTATACCACTAGAATCTAAAAGAAGCACCAACCCAATACTGTTTTCGGTGATGCTGGTTCTGGTCTTTTTAAATACCAAGGCAAGGGAAATGGCAGCGGTGGCTAGGGGCAGCTGTCTCATTATGGCAAGGTGCTCCACAAGATGACCCTCAACTTATTCAAGGGACATATCAAAATCCACAATTTTGGCCAAAAATGGAGCAATGCATTCAAACTACACAAAAAAGAGATTCCACTGAAACATTAGGAAGAAATTCCTGATGACAAGAGCTGCTTGGCAGTGGAATATGCTGCCGTGGAGTGTGGTTGAGTTTTCTTCTCTGGAGGTTTTTAAGCAAAGGCTGGATGGCCATCTGTCAGGAGGTCTTTGATTCTATGACCTGACTTTTACATGATGTCAACTTTTACATTAATATATACAGTATTTTCAGAAAACAGACAGTCTCATCTTAAATTACAGCTTTATGTAAATATTCAAAAACATTTAACCTACAGATGCCTCAATTAACGTAATTTTATTGGTATCTATTTTTATTTTGAAATTTACCAGTTGCTGCTAAATTTCCCACCATCAGCTTATACTTGAGTCAATACGTTTTCCCATTTTTTTGGTGGTAAAATGAGGTGTATCAGCTTATATTTGGATAGGCTTATATTTGAGTACATACGGTACTTACATTCAGTATTCTTCTCCCAGAACTATACTAAGAAAGGCCCGTGCCCTCAGCTCTAGGGTTCTTTTTCAGAGAGGGAAAAAAGTTCTCAGTGTCCTGGGAAGCCCACGTACCTGTTTCAACATGAACTCCAGCGGTTCATCAGGCTTCTCATACACAAGGTTTTCAGTGATCTCCTGGGAAAGACAGAAGCGATTATACTTCTTTCCTGAAGGCTAATAATGAAAAGATCTAAAAGTATATTGCCACAGGCAAGAACGGCTTGGCTTTTAAGAAAGGACCAAAACAAGATGCTTAGTTTTACTTTTCCTGAAACACATCAATCACACAGATAAACTAACTTTAGTTTATAGTGGCTTTTAGCTCCCATCATTTGAAATTTTAATATATTTCAGTCTGCCTCTGATATGAATAACTGAAAGTTGCAAGTTTAAAATGCATCTGACAATACATTTGGCTCAGCTGCATTACCAACACACATTAGGTTTTAGTTATTTATATCCCTTCCAACCACAAGGTCCTTAGAGTGGCTTAGTTATAACCTTATAAAAAACAAAGCAAAACAAGAACAAAGCGTAACAGCTGAAACAGACTAGAAGTTACAACCAAAGCAACATTCTTTGCATCCAGGTCATAAAAGTAAAACATTTAAATACACACACAAACCAGGACACAATAGGTAGATCAGTTTTGACTATTTTTCAGACTTCATAATCCATAGTTTAGAAAGACTAGGTACCTGTTTGACTTTAGTGCTTTTCCTCTGACTTGTATTATGCATATATCTCCATTAGATCGAAACATATTACTTAAGCTTAGTTAAGGTAAAAGTAAAGGTTTCCCTTTGTCATTAAGTCTAGTTGTGTTCAACTCCGGGGGGGGGGGGGGGCTGTTCTCATCTTTATTTCTAAGCCAAAGAGCTGGCGTTGTCTGTAGATGTCTCCAAGGTCATGTGGCCGGCATGACTGCATGGAGTGCCATTACCTTTCCGCTGAAGCAGTACCTATCGACCTATTAACATTTGCATCTTTCTGAACTGCTGAGTTGGCAGAAGCTGGGCCTAACAGCGAGAGCTCACCTCGCTCCCCAGATTCGAACTGCCAATTTTTCAATCAGCAAGTTCAGCAGCTCAGCGGTTTAACTTGCTGCACCACCAGGGGCTTAGTTATCCAATCAAAATAACAAGCTAAAATCAACAAAAATGTTGGCGTGCATTTCCAATAGGCCCATATTTCATCACCCACATGACAGAAATGGGGGGAAGTGTCATTCATGAAAAAACCTCTCACCTGAAATACCTGCAGAATGTTATGTTTCTCCATGTACTGAAGAGAAACCTCAAAGGGATCTTGATATACCACAGGCATGGGCTCGTCTGGGACTTCCTCCTCTGTGGTTATAGCTGGTGGGGCTACCTGTTGTTCTGCTTCCTCATGTGCAGTTTCTTCATGTATAACTACCTCGTGTGCTGCTTCTTCATGTATAACTACCTCGTGTGCTGCTTCTTCATGTGCTGCTTCTTCATGTGCTTCTTCCTCATGTGTCACCTCCTCGTGTACTGCTTCTTGAGGCTGGACCATTGTTTCCACTGATCTGACCAAACCACGTGGAAACTCAATTTTATTTTGCATCATCAAATTTCCAAGGGTTTCCAGATGTGAGTCAGAAGAAGATGTTTCTATTTCCTCATCCATGGCCAATACTATTTGAAGGAGTTGGGATTGAGGCCCAGAGGAAGGAGGTGTGACTATAGGTTGTTCGTAATGCTCCTGAACGTCAGTAATAGGAATATTTTCAGGCTGTAGATTCAATACAAATAAAGAATAAGAGGTGAGAAGCAGATATATGAATGTAACCTCTGATAGAACTTAGCTTTCTCCAATGCTCTTGCCTATTAAAAGGCGAAAGAAGAGACATGGGCCAGCACCTTCATGCCTGTCTGTTCCTTAGAATTTTTCCTCATATTCCTGTTAAGAAGCATAGCTTCCAAACAGTGTCACATACCCTTCTAAAACAGGAGGAAATCCAACATGCAAAATTAAAAGTTAACAGGAATATACTAGCTTCCATTTTCCACAGCAAATGATATCTATTCTGCTCCATGTACCCATTTTCCCCTCCTCCATTAGTATTTTTCCAATTATTATCCCTTTCGGTGATTGTGCTAAGTAGATATAAAATACAATAAATTAAGATTGGGAACATGCAATCTTCCAGATGTTGTTGGATAGTAAATATACTCAGCCTACACAGCATTGCTTGTTGTTGTTTATATATTTACATAGGTGTTGTCTTTATGCATATGGGAGTCCTCCAGCACCATTTTCTGGATCACTTTGCTGGGAAGGAACTTGGAAACACTGTTCTAAGGTTGTTCCTTTAATTACTGGAGGGGCAAACTCAGTAGGTGGTGGTGGAGGACTCCCATTCAACCATATGGACCAACAAAACAACCATGTATGTGTGTGACTTGCAAACTCTGTCTCAGAGAAAGTTACTTCATGCTGTATTACTATGTCGAGAAGACTTCAAAATTCACACTAGTAAAAGTACAATTCTCATATCATAATTCAACTAAGGATATACTATTTACAAAATAAGTAACAGAAATAAAGAAAAGCATATAGAAACAGCCAGTCCTAATAAGTCCTGGAGCTACAAAAAGTCTTGAGTCCAATACCAGTGGTAATAAAAAAAAATCCAACTTCCAAAATAACGACTTCTATATTAAAGTAGATTTTTCATTAACTCGTAATGCCAGGGACAGCCATATATCAAGATCTCCCGGGTTGTTTCCCTTGTTTCATTATGTCTTCGAGGGTAAGAAGGGCGGGTTATAAATGCAGGAAATAAATAAATAAATAAATTATGGTCTTATCTATAATGCTTGAGTACAATTCCTAATAGTAGCTTTGGCTCTGTTGTGAATGCTTGTCTTTATCTATAATGCTTGAGTACACCATTAGTAGCTTTGGTTCTGTTGTGAATGGAGTTCTGTAACGAATAGAGTTGTTCCCCAATGTATTTAAAACAACAACAACAACAAAAACAAGATTTTATTACGGTCCATGACCAGCACAGATTGGGGCACAAATGCCCTGAGAAGGGGAAACACAGTTCCCTAAAGAGACAGTCATAAAAAATATTCGAAAACATTTTTTTAAAAAACAACGTTTAAAGACACAGTTAACATAGCAGGTATGGGACTGAGGGGACGAAGTTTAATAGGAGGGGTAAAGATGGTTTTAAACAGTGTATTTTACTATTGAGACAAATGTTTTTAATGTTTATGTATGCATATAACGAATTCATGTCCCAGCATTGAATGTTTGCCATATATATGCTGAGTCCCATTCGGGGTGAGAAGGGCGGAATAGAAATGTTTTAAATAAATAAATAAAATAATAATAATTACAATACTAATAATAATTACAATAATAAAACTTTATTTATAGACCACACCTCTTTCCCAAAAGGGACTCAGAGTGGTACAATACAATAACAGGCAAACATTCAATGCTTTACAAAGTAAAAAACACCAGGAATAATACAAAATAATACACAATAATAACAGTAAATGTATAATGAAATAATTAAATGTTGAATGTGGACTAGGTAGGAATGAACCAATTAAACAATAAACTAGGACATGTGTGAACATTAAATATATATCATTAAAAGCAGTTATCAACATAAATGTAATAGTATTTCAGTGGAAGACTCCAAAGGCACCCAGTCCAAACCCCTTCTACCATGAAGGAAAAGAACAAAGCACCCCCAACAGATGGCCACCCAGCCTTTGTAACAACAACAACAACAATAAGAGCAACCCCACGGGCCATCTGTTGGCAAGAAAAAAAGAAATTTGGTGGCAAAGGAGCCAAGGGAAAAAACCTTTTGGGGGTGAAGGAGATGGGGAGAGGAGGAGGATCAGGAAAGAGGAGGGAAAGCTTGGGTAGGAGGAGAAGCACACTTCGAAAACCGCTGTAGTAAGGAATGCACTTTTCAGAACTATATATCTCTAAATAGGCATTTGTGAGCACACATGCATCAAAGGAGTTAACATCCCTAGGCATTGTTATGTTTAGCAGTATCCGTTATACATCTGTAAACATGCATAACAGATATCGATAACAATCATGGCAGGATATATATCTATTTAATATAGTCTAAGGTTCATCTACACTGTATAATTAATGCTATTTGACACCACTTTAATTACCATTGCTCAGTGCAATGGAATCATTAGAGTTGTAGTTTTAGAAGGCCTTTATCATTTTCTATCAAAGAGTTCTGGTACCTTACCAAATTACAACTCCTATGATTCTATAACATGGAGCCATGGGAGTTAAAGTGGTGTCAAACTGCATTAACTTTACAGTGTAGACCAGGCATGGGTAAACTTGGACCCTCCAGGTGTTTTGCACTTCAACACCCATAATTCCTAACAGCCTACCGGCTGTTAGGAATTGTGGGAATTGAAGTCCAAAACACCTGGAGGGCTCAAGTTTACCTATGCCTGGTGTAGGTAGGTACACTACTAGCTGAGAGCAGAGATTCTCCCTTACCAGATTAGGTCATTTTCAGTGTATCTTGGGCAGTTAGCTAGGAACAGTACAGTTCCTTACTATGAAGGAGTTGGATGCTCATTCTCTTGGCTTCTATTACCTCTCAGCTTGTTTTATATCATTCCTGACCTAATCATGACATAGAATGTTTAATCAAAATAGAGATGGTTCACTATATTCCGTTGATGTAAACAATTAATCTATTCACTAGAAGTCACGCAACACCATGTACAGTTAACTACCATCAGATTGCATCAACTGGTATTCTTCAATGCAGCGCCTATCTTGAGTTGATTATTGAACAATACACCAGTTTTGTTTCTTATAATTATGTGTAGTTATGTTGGCGTCATGCCTAGAAATAGCCAGCATTTTAAGTAGCAAACACACATACACATTGTTTCCTCATGTATATTTTATGTTTCATATGCACACTATTTCAAGTTCCTAGTTTTAAAGTTTGCAAAACAGGACCCACATTAGCATTCAGCCTGTACTAGTGAATATAATTCTAAACCCTGCAGTAAAAGAATACACATGATGTTGTTTTTTTTAAAAAACACATCTTCTAATGTAAGCAAAACTCAATCCCTGCGGGATTAAAGGCTACATTAAACATTTTTGTTGTTGCATTTTAACTGGATGTTTGAGATGTTGAGTTTCAGCTGAAAGCAGCTGTCTTTTCAAGACTACGTAATCGCTTGGAAGGGGACCGCTGCTAAACAAGGGACTGCTCTCCTTCTTATATACTTGTTATACTTAATTTATAGATCTATATATGTCCTACACCACAGCCAATGACTTCTAACCCTTCATCTAAGTCATTAATAAAGACTGGGCATAGTACTCCAGCAAAGGATCACCGCCTTGTTGTGGCGCTGGAGCTTGAGCACCTCAATGATGTCATGAGCGAAACCGTGAAGGGCCACCCAAGACGGGAGGGTCGTGGCAGAGAGGTCAGACCAAGCGTGATCCCTGGGGAGGGCAATGGCAAATCACCCCAGCCAAAATGCTACTGGGGAGGAGCAGAGGATAAGTTCAGCTAGCCCCAGATGTGATGACGCAGCTAGCTCAAAGCCGAAAGGAAGGCTAGCGGCCGACGGTACTGGAGGTGAACGACGAATCCGATGCTCTAAAGATCAACACACCATAGGAACCTGGAATGTAAGATCTATGAGCCAGGGCAAATTGGATGTTGTTATTGGTGAGATGTCAAGACTAAAGATAGACATTCTGGGGGTCAGCGAACTGAAATGGACTGGAATGGGCCACTTCACATCAGATGACCACCAGATCTACTACTGCGGACAAGAGGAACATCGAAGAAATGGAGTAGCCTTCATAATTAATAAGAAATTCGCTAAAGCGGTGCTTGGATACAACCCAAAAAAGGACAGAATGATCTCAATTCGAGTGCAAGGAAAGCCTTTCAACATTACAGTGATCCAAATATACGCCCCAACCACAGCTGCTGAAGAAGCAGAAGTAGATCAGTTCTATGAGGATCTGCAGGACCTACTGGATAATACACCAAAAAGAGACATTATTTTCATTACAGGAGACTGGAATGCCAAGGTGGGAAGTCAAATGACAACAGGGATCACAGGCAAGCATGGTCTGGGAGAACAAATTGAAGCGGGACGCAGGCTGATAGAATTTTGCCAGGAAAACTCGCTGTGTATAACGAATACTCTCTTCCAACAACCTAAAAGACAGCTTTATACATGGACCTCACCAGATGGTCAACACCGAAATCAGATTGACTACATCCTTTGCAGCCAAAGGTGGCGGACATCCATCCAGTCGGTGAAAACAAGACCTGGGGCTGACTGTAGCTCAGATCACGAACTTCTTATTTCCCAATTTAGAATAAAACTAAAGAGATCAGGGAAAATACACAGACCAGTTTAGATATGATCTCACTAACATTCCTAGCGAATATACAGTGGAAGTGAAGAACAGATTTGAAGGACTAGATTTAGTAAACAGAGTCCCAGAAGAACTATGGACAGAAGTCCGAGACATTGTTCAGGAGGCGGCAACAAAGTACGTCCCAAAGAAAAAGAAAACCAAAAAGGCAAAATGGTTGTCTGCTGAGACACTGGAAGTAGCCCAAGAAAGGAGGAAAGCAAAAGGAAACAGGGATAAGGGGAGATATGCCCAGTTAAATGCGCAATTCCAGAGGTTAGCCAGAAGAGATAAGGAATTATTTTTAAATAAGCAATGCATGG